AAACAGGAGATATCTGGTAGGACAAGGAACTTTGGAGACAAGAGCAAAGGTGGCCCCACCAGAAGGAAGAGGACAGTCGTGCAGAAGGAGGAGCAGGGCTGGCCCAGCAGACACAGATGCAGATGATCACACAGCAGGTGCAGCGGGTCTGGGAAGGGCAAGAGGGGGCAGTGGGGACCAGGGAGAGTGGAGAGTGGGCTCATGGGGGTCACTGCAGCCAGTGGCTGCCTGGCTGAGATTCAGTGCCAGTGTTGCCGCATCTTCTGAATTTCCACGTGCTCTCTCTTGACTGTACAGTGTTGACAAGTCCTCATATTTTACAGAACGCTGTGTAGTACATCAAAACGTACTGTGTCCAACAACCAGTCCAGCAGGCCTGCCTCTAGTGTGACTCTGGGCTGCATTCCATACTTCCCTCCAGCTGCACTGCAGACCTTCTGAACGCTCAAGTACGGTAACAGAAATTCTACGTGATCTAGCCTCAGAGCAAAGTACTATAATTTAGAAATAAATACAAAAAGTAGAATTAAAAGGTGTCCTACGTCTTGTTATTTTTTTTACAGACTTGTCCATGTAATCATAGATATCCAGGATCAAAGAACATTTTTTAATCTGAAAATAAGAAATTAAAAGTAACCAAGGAGAACTTACTGTGAAATTGTATACTAGACAAAAATTTTTTACTTGTTTATATTATTTTGAATAAGGAAAGGCAGACAAACTCGGGCTGAAAATATTTAGAGAAGGAACCAAGTTCAAGATAAAAAAAATATGGAAAATAAGAAACAAGAAGAAAAATTCCACATTAAAATCAATGTATTTTTGTGAAACCATTTGATCCTCTGAAAACTTTAGCTATGTCAACGCAAAATTAGTCTAATAACAAAAACGAAAGGATATAAGTTAATGAAAATCAGGGCTGAGAAAGAAACCTAAAAATCAGTCAAACAATTTCTAAAACTGGGGAAACATTTCTCTCAGGTGACGGCTAATTAATGTTACAATTAAACACAACAAACAGAAAAAACACAAAATATCAAAAGATGTGTTAAAGAGCTAAAGATCTTGAATAAAGTAATAAGAGCATCTTAAAGAAAAAATAACAAAAGGACACGGTTCTGGAATTTTCTGGAAATTTTTTCAAAACCTCAAAGCAGGAATACTTTACATAAATCATCACACACTACAGATGAGTGTGGCCTGATGCCCTAACCCGCAAAGGACAACACAAGTGAGGATGAGTATAAATCACTGTCACTTATGAACTAAAGCCAAACGTCAGCGATAATATCTTAGAGGCCAGAATGTGCTGTTTCAGTGTCAAGGCCTCTGTGCTCAGAGGGGGGAGCATTTGAGAAACAGAGAGAAGACAGAGGGAGCAGGAGTGGGAGAGGGAGGAGGAAGCTGTGCGGAAAGGTACCATCTGGGGTCTACGGAAGCTCTGTGTCTTACCTGAAAGTTTTCCAGAAGTCTCATCCAGCAAGCCTCACAAAAATACATTTGCCACATGACCCAAGACATACATGGATACATTATTAAGGGAAATGAAAGTTTCATCAAGGAAGATTTACCTCAACGACCTATGTTCCACTCTGATTTTTTTTAATTCTATTCTTTAAAAAAAAAAAAATGCTAATCTCTATCCAATACTTCAGTTGTCTCAACTGGGGGCGATTTTGCCTCTCAGAGATATTTGGCAAAGTCTATGAACACTTTGGATGGTCACAAGGATGGGAAGGGCTACCGGTATCTAGGGGATGAGTGCTTGGGAATGCTGCTGACAGGGATGGGCCCAGAGCACAGGTGGCCCCACCAGAAGGAAGAGGACAGTTGTGCAGAAGGAGGAGCGGGACTGGCCCAGAAGACTCTCAAACAGTCCCACAGATGCAGAGGACAGACTGCGTGTGCAGCAGGTCTGGGAAGAGCAATATGGGGCCGTGGGACCAGGGAGAGCAGACAGTGGGCTGAAGCTTGTGACTGTAGCCAGTGGCTGCCTGGCTGAGATTCAGTGCCAGCGTTGCCACATTTTCTGGATTTGCATGTGCTCTCTCTTGACTGTACAATGTTGACAAGTTCCAATATTTTACAGAATTCCCTGTGCAGGACATCAAAACATACCGCGTCCAAAGTCCAGTCCCCCGGGCCTGCCTCTAGTCTGACTCTGGGCTGCATCCCCTAATTCCCTCCAGCTGCACTGCTGACCTTCTGAACTCTCCAGAAATTCTGTATGAAATAGCCTCAGTATACAAAACTGTATGTATAGAAATAAACACAAAAGGTAGAATTAAAATCTGTCTTACTTCTTAATATTCTTTTTTTCTTTAATCATTTAAAAATTTTGTCTGTGTAAGCTTAGGAAATCCAATATAAAAAGCATTTCTTTAATCGAAAAATAAGAAAATAAAAATAACCATCGACAAGATACTGCCAAATTATATATTACACAAAAGTTTTCTACTGGCTCATAATATTTTGAATAAATAAAGCCAAACTAGGGTTGCTAGAATTTAGAAAAGTAACCAAGTTCAAGATGAAAAATACAGAAAACAAGAAATACTACTAATAAGAAACATTTCCCGTTTAAACAAATGTGTTCAAACTTCATTTTGAACTGTCTTCATTACCACACGTTGCCTCTTTTTTTAAGGAGTGAGCTATTTTGTTCTTCTTTTAGAATCACCTTTTACATTACGCATCTACAATTCTAGCTTTAATATAGCTCTCCCCTTTTACTTTGAGGGTCTAAATCAGGAGTCGGGGCACTGAGGCCACCTGGTTATGAGGTTATGAGGGGACAGCCCATCCACTCCCTTATGTCTGTGGCTGCTTTCACACCACAATGATAAGGGTGAGCAACTCTATCGGAGACCTTATGCCCACAAAGCCAAAAATATTTACTGACTTATCAGTTTCATTAACTTTTAGCTTTTACTGGACTTTTTTATGTTACCAGTTTTATACATATATAATTTTTTTAACTACTCTTTCTCTTTTAAAGACTTTTAACATTATTCCAACTGTTCCCTTTTTATTTAATTACCAGAAGAAGTGACTGTGTGCAAATACCCAGCAGGACTCTTCTCCAAAGCTTCTCCCTGTTTTGAACTAAGAATTGAGGCTCGGCCTTAAGAAGGCCTGACTCCACATTCCAGCCACTGTTTGAGGAATCTGCTAATCACATGGTCACCTGATGAGTCCTGCTGCTTTGCTGGTCCCCTAACATAAAATGCCCACACCACCTCCTGACTGCATAGGCTGACTATGCTCTGGCCCAGCACCCTACACCTGCCCATTTCAGGTCAAGTTATTTAATGGGCAGCTACAGTCTATTAATGCTTAAGTTAGAGGGAGCCAATGACTTTGCCCCAGACTTGTAGATTTAAATTTTCTGAATTTTGTTAACTACATTCAGAGCTCTGAATCCTTATAATGGCTGTAGAGTTTGCCAAGGTTTTTTGTGGGGGAGGAGGGCGTGGTGGGGGGGAAATAGGTTTATTTAGTTATTTTGAATGTCAATACTAGGAAATGAACCCAGAACCATGTGCATGCTATATGTGCACTCTACCACTGAGCTATACCCTACCCCCCAGGGTTTTAACTATGAATAATTCTTTCAAATTTTCCACCTTTCATCAAACACTTACTATGAACCAGGCAGTGTCATAGATACAAGGGATATGAAATCAAGTAAGACATGGATTCTCTCTTCAATGAATTTGTGGTCAATTTAG